CTGGAATTATTTTGGAGTGGACAAATACGCCCAGCAGCACGTAGCCTACTTTCTGAAGTGATTTGTTTGACAACCAGATGAAAACATCATGACTGGTTGTGTTCATGGAACATTAAAAGGTGATACATGTCTTTACTGTTAGGCCTATTAAAAACATGTGACCCAACAGTCCTCCCGAATGTCACGGTCACGGTATAATTCTCACTCTGTGTAACCCAGTTGCAAATGTGTTACAGGGTGATTTTGCCAGCTGTCACTTACATTTTACATTTACATTTTAGTCATTTAGCAGACACTCTTATCCAGAGCGACTTACAGTTAGTGAGTGCATACATTTTCATACTGGCCCCCCGTGGGCAACAAACCCACAACCCTGGCGTTGCAAGCACCATGCTCTACCAACTGAGCTACAGGGGATACTTCCACAGTATCTGTCCAAGAATTCAGTCAGGATTATAGTGGGAAGTAAGTCACCCACAAAGTGTTATTGACCCGCTGTACACTCGGATGATAACAATGAATCACTTGTAGGATGGCAGAATTCTGGTAACTTTCCCAAAATGTTCCAGTTTTCCAGAAGTCCTGGTTGGAGGTGTTCAGATTTCTTGCCTATTCCCTCATGATTCCAGAAATCTACTAACCAGGATTTCTGTAAAATCTGGGAATATTGGGTGCGTTTCCAGATTTTTGCAACCCTAATCACTTGCTTACTTTGAGGAAAGTGTAGACTCCTTGTTCTGTGTCTCCGTTCACATCCCCCCTCTCGAATAGCAGGAAGTTTGGAACAAATCCATTTCCTGGTCGGACATGCCTGGAACCCAAGGAGAGAGAGAGAGACGCTTATCACTGGGCTGCTTCCCAAATGGTACCCTATTCCCTATATAGTGCGCTACTTTTGACAAGGCCCCATAAGGCTCTGGTCAAAAGTAGTGCACTATTTAGGAAATAGGGTGCCATTTGGGACAGTGGCATGGCCTAGACATGCTTTTGAGAACTTAACAGACCTCACTCACTAAGCTATTGCCCTAGACAGATAGGACTATATGACACGAACACAAACCACAACATGAAACACAACACTCTTAAGCCTCATATACATACAAACTCTGCTTTTACCAGGGGTTAACAACCCAGGTTATAAAACCCAAATATACTGATATACTGATGGCAGGTTTAATCTTTCCTTTAAACTGGCCAGGAGTAGAGTCTTGAGGGTGGGTTAGGGGGGACCAGATAACATAGGAATGTTATATACTTCTCAGAGTGGGCTACATCTTAGGGATTTGTATATCGCTTCTCAGAAACTGATCTCCCAATCCTGGAAGGTTTTTCCCAAAACTAAATGAAGCTCTGTTGATTGACAAGAGGATTTGTCTTTATTGCGGTCTTGTTGCCTGCATTCAGGCATGCAGGACCCTTGCATTAGTTTCATGGTTTCAGGTTTATTTATCATATACATTACACCACTTTATAATAAAAAACATTGGTAATGTATATCATATACATTACACCACTTTATAATAAAAACATTGGTAATGTAATGCATATCATTACATTACACCACTTTATATGTATTTTAATGACTGTTCAGTTGTTAACTGGTCTCTGAGACAAACAATACTTACTTTAGAGTGGCCAGAATCTCATGATTCTCTCCTGGCTCCTGTTTTCCAAACTGATTGGAGGGGAACCCGAGAATGGTGAACCCATAATCCTTCATCTCCTCGTGTAGTGCATTCAACTCTGATTAGATCACACACACACACACACACACACACACACACACACACACACACACACACACACACACACACAACACACCACAGTTGGATTAAAGGTTTTATAATAGAAAGATAACACAACAGCAAGATCAATCCCATAAACCCTTGGGTAACTTGAGGTCAAAATAAGATTTCAAAACAACAACATACATTAAGTAGGGCACATGCTACAGTTTTTCCTGATCTGGTCACATGGTGTTACAGCCCTACCAGCCCTACCATCCCTACCAGCCCTACCAGCCCTACCAGCCCTAACCAGCCCCTAATTACAGCCCGACCGACTGATTACATGCCGTACCAGCCCTTATTACAAGCACTACCAGCCCTACCAGCCCTACCAGCCCTACCAGCCTATTTACAGCCCTTACAGACTTTACGCCCTACCAGCCCTATACCAGCCCTACCAGACCTCCAGCCCTATCGACCCATTACAACCCTAACGCCCTACCCGCCCTATTACAGCCCTACAGCCCATTAAGCCATACAGCCTATAACAGCCCTACCGCCCTATTACAGCCACTACCAGCCCTTACCAGCCCTACCAGCCCTATTAAGCCCTACACGACCTACCAGCCCTACCAGCCCTACCAGCCCTATTACAGCCCTACCAGCCCTATTACAGCCCTACCAGCCCTACCAGCCCTATTACAGCCCTACCAGCCCTATTCCAGCCCTACCAGCCCTACCAGCCCTACCAGCCCTCAGCCTACCAGCCCTATTACAGCCCCTACCAGCCTCCAGCCCTATTACAGCCCTACCAGCCCTATTCTAGCCTATTAACACCTACAGCCCTATTAACAGCCCTACCAGCCCTATTAAAGCCCTACAGCCCTATTACAAGCCCTACCAGCCCTATTACAGCCCTACCAGCCCTACCAGCCCTACCAGCCCTACCAGCCCTATTACAGCCCTACCAGCCCTATTACAGCCCTACCAGCCCTACCAGCCCTATTACAGCCCTATTACAGCCCTACCAGCCCTACCAGCCCTATTCCAGCCCTACCAGCCCTACCAGCACCTACCAGCCCTATTACAGCCCTACCAGCCCTACCTTCCAGCCCTACCAGCCCTATTACAGCCCTACCATCCCTACCAGCCCTACCAGCCCTATTACAGCCCTACCACCCTACCAGCCCTACCAGCCCTACCAGCCCTATTACAGCCCTACCAGCCCTACTACAGCCCTACCAGCCCTATTACAGCCCTACCAGCCCTACCACAGCCCTACCAGCCCTACCAGCCCTATTACAGCCCTACCAGCCCTATTACAGCCCTACCAGCCCTACAGCCTTTACAGCCCTACAGCCCTACCAGCCCTACCAGCCTACAGCCCTACCAGCCCTAAGTTAACAAGCCCTACCAGCCCTACCAGCCCTATTACAGCCCTACCAGCCCTACCAGCCATCATACAGCCTACAGCCCTACCAGCCCACCCTATTACAGCCCTACCAGCCCTATTACACTACAGCCCTACCAGCCCTAAATTACAGCTCCTACCAGCCAACGCCCTCACATGCCCTACCAGCCCTATTACATCCCTACCAGCCCTATACAGCCCTTACAGCCTACAGCATTCCTATTACAGCTACCAGCCTTTTACAGCCACCGTTACAGCTAGCCTTAACAGCCCTACCAGCCCTGTTACAGCCCTACAGACCCTATTACATGGCTCACACAGTTCGCCTTACCAGCCTATGTTTACAGCCCTACCAGCCTCTATTAAGCCCTACCTACACCTACCAGCCCTATTACAGAACCCTCTACCAGCTTTCAATTACAGCCCTACAGCCTCTATAACTACAGCCTACCAGCCTATTACAGTCCTTACAGCTTACACCCTACAGTCGCTTAGCTCCAGTTATTCACAAGCCTACCACCCTATTGACAGCCCTACCAGCCTTAAGCCTACTCCAGCCTACCAGCCTATATACACAGTCCTCGCCATTCAAATACAGGCGTACCACCATTCAGCGCTGTCACACAGCCCTAAGTCAGCCTACACCCTATTATGATTACAGCCTCAGCCTTTACATGTGCCCTTACAGCCTTACATGGTGTTACAGCCCTACCAGCCCTATTACATGGTGTTACAGTCCCCTACCAGCCCTATTACATGGTATTACAGTCATACCAAGCCTATTACTTGGTTATACCAGCACCCTACCAGCCCTATTACATGGTGTTACAGCCCTACCAGCCCTATAACATGGTGTTACAGCCCCTACCAGCCACTATTACATGGTATTACAGCCCTACCAGCCCTATACATGGTGTTACAAGCCCTACCAGCCCTATTACATGGTGTTACAGCCCTACCAGCCCTATTACATGTGTTGTCTACAGCCCTACCAGCCCATACATGGTATTACAGCCCTACCAGCCCTATTACATGGTGTACAGCCCATACCAGCCCTATTACATGGTGTTACAGCCCTACCAGCCCTATTACAGCCCTACCAGCCCTATTACATGGTGTTACAGCAGTTCCCCACTGTATGGCCTAGCCTCTTTCTCTTTGTTGCAGACTGCTCTAAGGGCTCCATTCATAGGATCCATTGCGGTTGTTTTGGCGTTTCGGAGTTGGAACAGTGTTAGCGCTGTAAAATCCACAAGCGACTCCTGGCGTTATACCTAAATCAGACATTGCCATTGGCTGCACGGAGTCGCATTAACAGCCTTTGTTTACAAGCTCCAACACTGTAATGTGAGATGTAATCTACACCTCGATTAAGCTGATAGAAATCCTCATTATTTTGTTGAATGGTTTTCAATTTGAGCATCATTGTTTCTATATAACCTACACTTTCTCCTTCTGACTTCAAACTAAAGTGGGGCGAGTGTGGCGTCGTGACAATGATCACAAGAGCAGCTGCTCACCCGATTGGACAGCTCCAACGCAGTTCCACCTCCAACACCGCCAAAACATCCGCTATACGGGTGTCGGCTATCGCCGGTTAACGCTTGATCTGATTGAATCTAGTCCTCAGGTCAGTCAAGCCTGTTAGTCTATGTACGGACCTGCTCATTGTAAGAGGTATTTACAGTGAATCAGTTTTGGTAATAAACTAAGCGTGGGTAGGGTTGGTCATTATCCAGATTTTCATCCCGTTTCTGTACCATAGCCTGTTAGCCTACTGTTAGCTAACTCAACTGTTAGTCTATTGTTATACTATTCGTCTTAAGCCAGACAATCTTACCCAGGTACTGGAAGGTGAGTCCTCAGTAAGTGGCTACGTTGACGAAGAGGACGGTCTTCCCCATGTAGTCACTGAGGGAGACAGAACGACTCCCATTCAGAGTCTTCGCTTTGTAGTTATAGATGGTGCCATCTTTGGATGGGTCACACACCTGAGGATCAACACACACACACACACACACACACACACACACACACACACACACATACACACATTTAAACAGGTTATGAATATTCTCTGCTGTATAGCCATTTTCCCTGAAGAGTGTTTATTTATGTATATCCTTTCTTGTGGTGCTATCAGCTGTTAGTCTTAGAAAATAGGCCAAATGCACATAGAACCAGTTTTCAATCTTCAACAAAAATCGAAACTAAACAATGACATCCAATAGTGATGTCTGCCCCTCTAGTCTAATTGACCAAGAATGTAACCACTAGTATTCTACTTGTTTTACATAATAAATAATGTGTATTTATCTGTCTAGGGCTGTCCCCGACTAAAATACATCTTGGTCAACCGAGAGTCATCTGTTCTTTCGACCAATTGATTTTTCCATATATATAGACACACACTATGTGTTTTAATAAAATCAACTATATGCACTGAGCTTGTCTGATGCTTTAAGCCAGGGGTGTCAAACTCATTCCATGGAGGGCCTAGTCCCTGCTGTTTTTTGGTTTTTTCCTTTCAATTAAGAAAACCAGGTGAGGGGATCTCCTTACTAATCAGTGACCTTCATTTATCAATCAACTACAAGGGAAGACCGAAAGCCCGCATACACTTGGCCCTCGATGGAATAAGTTTGACGCGTGCTTTAAGCACGTTTGATTAAATAATTAACACACGAATGACTCAAGAGGGAGCCAGATATCAAGATAACCAGAAGAAGAAAAAAATATTCCCAACCCTCATTCTCCCGCGGCCTGCCAATATGCTCCTGAAGACAGGCTACACCAGGGGTTGGCAACCTTTTTCCATGTGGAGTGCCAATTTACAATTTATCTCACCATTTCTACTGATCTGCATTGGGTGCCAGTTATGATTTTCATATGAACATTTTCATTTAAATGATAATAACTTATTTGTGATCTATTGCCAACTAGGTAAAAAGCCTACATAAAGCCAACAAATAAAAACATTGCAAGTAGAAAATATCCTGATTAAAAATAAATATCCTATAAATCACATTGGCTAAGCATGGAGGTTTGTTCATGTTCTTCAATTGCATTAAAAGTGACTATGCATAGATAATAAACAGTGAGTAGCAGCAGTATAAAAACAAGGGGGGGGGGGGGGGGGTCAATGCAAATAGTCTGGGTGGCCATTTGATTAATTGTTCAGCAGTCTTATGGCTTGGGGGTGTAAGCTGTTAAGGAGCCTTTTGGACCTAGACTTGGCGCTCCGGTACCGCTTCCGTGCGGTAGCAGAGAGAACAGTCTATGACTTGGGTGACCGGAGTCTTACGGTCGGATGCCGAGCAGTTGCCATACCAGGCGGTGATGCAACTGGTCAGGATGCTCTTGATGGCGCAGCTGTATAACTTTTTGAGGACTTGGGGACCCATGCCAAATCTTTTCAGTCTCCTGAGGGGGAAAAGGCCTTGTCGTACCCTCTTCATGACTTTCTTGGTGTGTTTGAACCATGATAGTTTGTTGGTGATCCAGTTGCAGAGGGAGGTGTTTAGTCCCAGGGTCCTTAGCTTAGTGATGAGCTTTGTGGGTACTATGGTGTTGAACGCTGAGCTGTAGTCAATGAATAGCATTCTCACATAGGTGTTCATTTTGTCCAGGTGGGAAAGGGCAGTGTGGTGTGCGATTGAGATTGTATAATCTGTGGATGTGTTGGGGCGGTATGCGAATAGGAGTGGGTCTATGGTTTCTGGGATGGTGGTATTGATGTGGGCCATGACCAGCCTTTCAAAGCATTTCACGGCTACCGACATGAGTGCTATGGGGCGGTAGTCATTTAGGCAGGTTAACTTCGCTTTCTTGGGCACAGGGACTATGGTGGTCTGCTTAAAACATGTAGGTATTACAGACTCGGTTAGGGAGAGGTTGAAAATGTCAGTGAAGACACTTGCCAGTTGGTCTGCGAATGCTCTGAATACATATCCTGGTAATCCGTCTGGCCCCGCGGCCTTGTGAATGTTAACCTGTTTAAAGGTCTTGCTCACATCGGCTACAGAGAGCGTGATCACACAGTCGTCTGGAACAGCTGGTGCTCTCATGCATGCTTCAGTGTTGCTTGCCTCGAAGCGAGCACAAAAAGTCATTTAGCCCATCTGGTAGGCTCGCATCACTGGGCAGTTCGCGGCCTTTAGCTCGGTGCGGATATTGCCTGTAATCCATGGCTTCTGGTTGGGATATGTATGTACGGTCACTGTGGGGACGACATCGTCGATGCACTTATTGATGAAGCCGGTGACTGAGGTGATATACTCCTCAATGCCATTGGATGAATCCCGGAACATATTCCTGTCTGTGCTATCAAAACAGTCCTGTAGCGTAGCATTCGTGTCATCTGACCACTTCTGTATTGAGCGAGTCACTGGTCTTCATGCTTTAGTTTTTGCTTGTAAGCAGGAATCAGGAGAATAGAATTATGGTCTGATTTTCCAAATGGAGGGCGAGGGAGAGCTTTGTACGCATCTCTGTGTGTGTGAGTAAAGGTGGTCAAGAGTTTTTTCCCTCTGGTTGCACATGACATGCTGGTAGAAATTAGGTAAAACAGATTTAAGTTTGCCTGCATTAAAGTCCCCGGCCACTAGGGGCGCCGTTTCTGGAATACATTTACATTTTAGTCATTTAGCAGACGCTCTTATCCAGAGCGACTTACAGTTATTGAGTGCATACATTTTCATACTGAAGAATACAATTTTCTTGTTTGCTTATGGCCTCATACAGCTCGTTGAGTGCGGTCTTAGTGCCAGCGTTGGTTTGTGGTGGTAAATAGACTGCTACGAAAAATATAGATGAAAACTCTCTTGGTAGATAGTGGGTCTACAGTTTATCATGAGGTACTCTACCTCAGGCGAGCAATACCTCAAGACTACCTTAATATTAGACATCGCGCACCAGCTGTTATTGACAAATAGACACCCACCCCCACCCCTCGTCTTATCAGACGTAGCTGTTCTGTCCTGCCGATGCATGGAAAACCCAGCCAACTGTATATTATCCGTGTCGTCGTTCAGCCACGACTCGGTGTAACATAAGATATTACAGTGTTTAATGTCCCGTTGGTAGGATAGTCTCGAACGGAGCTCATCCAGTTTATTCTCCAGTGATTGCACATTGGCTAATAGAACGGATAGTAGAGGCGGGTTACCCACTCGCCGAAACAAATTCTCACAAGGCACCCTGGTCTGCGCCTCCTGTATTTCCTTATTTTCTTCATGCGAATGACAGGGATTTGGGCCTTGTCTGGGAGCAACATTATATCCTTTGCGTCCGACTGATTAAAGAATCTTTGTCCAGTTCGAGGTGAGTAATCGCTGTTCTGATATCCAGAAGCTATTTTTCGGTCATAAGAGACGGTAGCGTCAACATTATGTACAAAATAAGTTACAAACGATGCGGAAAAAAAACACACAAAATAGCACATTTGGTTAGGAGCCCGTAAAAAACGGCAGCCAACCCCTCCGGCGCCATTCTTCATTCTATGTGTAATCAGGTGCACATCCTTACTCAATATTGACAGGAGCGCTCCAAACAAAACTCATAAATGGAATGAAATAAACCAAAACTTGTTTCTCACAAGTGTAGCAGGTTGTGATCTCTTCAAACAACGTTTCCACTCCGACAATGATAATGGTAAATTACTGTAATATACACTACATATACAAAAGTATGTGGACACCTCTTCAAATTAGTAGATTCGGCTATTTCAGCCACACCCGTTGCTGACAGGTGTAAAAAATAAATGCACACAGCCATGCAATCTCCATAGACAAACATTGGCAGTAGAATGGCCCTTACTGAAGAGCTCAGTGACTTTCAACGTGGCACCGTCATACGATTCCACCTTTCCAACAAGTCAGTTCGTCAAATTTCTGCCTCGCTAGAGCTGCCTCGGTCAACTGTAAGTGCTGTTATTGTGAAGTGGAAACGTCTAGGAGCAACAACGGCTCAGCCGCAAAGTGGTAGGCCACACAAGCTACCAGAACGGGACCGCAGAGTGCGGAAGTGCATAAAAATGGTCTGTCCTTGGTTGCAACACTCACTACCAAAACTTCCAAACGTAAGCACAAGACCTGTTTGTCGGGAGCTTCATGAAATGGGTTTCCATGGCCGAGCAGCCGCACACAAGCCTAAGATCACCATGCGCAATGCCAAGCTTTGGGATGAATTGGAACAACGTTGAATTGGAACAACGACTACGATCCAGGCCTAATCGTCCAACATCAGTGTAAGTCGCTGCAGCAATGTTCCAATTTCTAGTGGAAAGCCTTCCCAGAAGAGTGGAGGCTGTTATAGCAGCAAAGGGGGGACCAACTCCATATTAGTGCCCATGATTTTAGAATGAGATGTTCGACGAGCAGGTGTCCACATACTTTTGGTCATGTAGTGTATATCGAATGCATTAACAGAAATTATGGTACCCAAAAAACATTGTAGATTCACACAATGAAGTTATGAAACAATGAATGCACACGAAATGGCGGGAGAGAGCGCATTCTGGAGAGAGACATTGTGCATCTTAGCCACACTCCCCTTTTTGACTCAACATTTTAATTTATACCCAATACACATTATCTTCACACATAGACTTACTGTAGGCCTAAGGAATACTCTCACAAACGGTGTCAGGGTCCAAAGGAGTAGCCATTTATGGAAAACCAATGCAATTTTGAAACGAACGCAATTTCACTTATTTTATGAATTTTATCAAATTGCTTGGCTACCAAGACAAATAGCCTCGCGGCATGTGTGTCTTATGGACTGTTCCATCCACAATGGATTAGTCCACTGAGACAGACGCAAATCAAGACAGGTAGGTGTCTCAAGTGCCATGAAATATAAAATAAATTGTGACTGCTTGACAAAACAAATCTCAGTCGGCCAACTAGTCAACTAAATGGGGTCAGCCCTAATTTTATCTGTCGGATGATGATGTTTTTTCAAACGATTCTCAGATGGCCAGTGGTTTTCTGGAAACGTCCATTACCCCGACGTGTCACTTACTATGATAGTACAATAACAGGCGCGTTTTGCGTAACGGTTCGCATGACTCTCCAAGGATAGGTAAATATTTAGTTTTGTCCCCAGATAGAAATAATCAATTTAACAACAACCACTGGATTGTGAAATAAACAGAATAATAATTTACTACACCAAACCGATACAGCAAATGTACCACCTGTCAAATATTAGCCTATGTCGCAATTTAGTATTCCTAATCATATTTTCAAAAGGAAATTATATTGTGTCAATGCTAATATCACTAGGCTATATAATATATTAAATCAATTTACAGCAGGAATTACCTGACTGAGTGAGTCGCCTGCAGCCCATGGCTTTAACAGCCCCAGTAGTACCAGAGGTAGGACCCACAGACTCTCCTGCATGACCCGCATCGTCACAGTGAGAGGGGACCTGTGTAGGTCCGCTCCTTTTCCTTCCCCTGGGACCTAGTTAATCATCTGTCCAGTGTGATCCCTCCCTCTCCACGCAATGACAACAAGCTGACGCACACTTCACTCTCAGCCAATACAAATCCAGAGCCCAGTCTCTAATATTAGTTTTTTTTTCTCTCACTGGGGTTCGTGTTGTTATCACTTTTATAGTGCTGACGACTGCCTTTTGACAGAGTAGACATCTAGATAGGTCAGTCACCACACACTGACAATGTACTGCCTTTTGACAGAGTAGACATCTAGATAGGTCAGTCACCACACACTGACAATGTACTGACTTTTGACAGAGTAGACATCTAGACAGGTCAGTCACCACACACTATTCACAGAATCACATCTGCAGTTATTTTAGTATTTTGTCTTCTAATCCATATCTGATGTCTATCATCATCATCATGTTTGATGTAGCAGAGATAACTGCACAGTGCACACCTACATTTACAATATGATGCAATTGATTATTTCTACTAAATAAGCTACCATAATGTGTTGGGAGAAGTAGGCCTACCAGAATACAAAATGTCACTAATGTCTCGACAACGTGGCAAAAAAAAGATAAATGATATTTAACTGCCTCCTCCAGTTTTCTGCTGTTACCATGGTGAGCTGAGCCTCCAGCTGGCTACCCAGCAAACCAAAATTGGTTCATTGAAAGTTCCCAGAACATTCGTTAGGTTGCGGCAAATGTTCTCACTAAACAAAAACTGTCCAGTCGTGGTGATGATTATAGAATGTTTGTATAGAACATTCGCCTGATGTTGCAAGAACATTCCTAGAACACATTTATTCAGTTCTTTAAAAAGGTTCCCGAAACACAAAAACTTTCCAGTTGTGCAGATGAATCTACAATGTTTCTTTTAGGGTGCAAAAAAAACATTCACATGACGACGAGAAATGTTCCCATAACACACTGGACATTTGAACAGCATTTAAAATCATACAAACACAACCATATTTTTTTACAATTCATATATTGACAATCTGCACGTAGGGTTTAAACCTGCAATGTTTGGTACCCAAGACAGGTCTTCTATCCTCTCTGCCACCAGGGAAGCTCACTTATAGCTTCTTTTTTCAGTATATAGCCATGGCAGTATGGTTGCCATGGCAGTATGGTTGCCATGGCAGTATGGTCAGTCAGGAATTCCATGCTTCCTTTTTAGCCTTCTTAGACATAACTAACCCAGGGAAATACTGGTAACTGGGTTATTCACCGTCACTTCACCCATCCTCTTTATATGCTGCGTACTTCTGGGCCCTTCTTCTCCGTATGTAGGGTTTTCAGAGGTTACATTCACCCACAGTTGTATCCATGTCAACTACAGTTCCAACGGTGTATTTTAACGTTTAGAAATGTCAATAATCATCGCTTTCAAACTGGTTTTTCAAAACATATGCTGATATCCCCATTATCATTTTTCAAAAATAATCTTTCAAATAAAAAATATACACTTACTGTAGCAGTTTTTCACAGATCCACAAACTGTGTGTGCCTCCAGTTGACGAACTACACTTCCTCCCCAGTTACACTGACACACAGGTGTTCGGAGCGCGCTAGATAGCTAATTAGCACAGGTGTTCGGAGCGCGCTAGATAGCTAATTAGCACAGGTGTTCGGAGCACGCTAGATAGCTAATTAGCACAGGTGTTCGGAGCACGCTAGATAGCTAATTAGCACAGGTGTTCGGAGCACGCTAGATAGCTAATTAGCACAGGTGTTCGGAGCACGCTAGATAGCTAATTAGCACAGGTGTTCGGAGCACGCTAGATAGCTAATTAGCACAGGTGGCCTCCTATGTCTTCCGTCTGTCTTCCGTAAACAAGTGATGTAACATGGAGATATGGCCGAATGGGAACACTAACCCCTAACCCTATAAAGATGTGTAGTAATTTAACATTTTTTGGGGGGAAAATTATTTCTCGCTAATATGAAAGATAGGATCCTTATGTTCCCAAAACCATACCGCAAGCGATGCGTTTTAACATTCAGAACGATTATCGGGGATCTTAACAAAATTCCCCCGACCAGAAGATACTATCGTCAGTAGGTGCCAAAGCAGTTTGCGTCTATCAATTGCTTAGGATCACTTTTGCTTTTCAGATCATAAAAAATAAGCCACAAGGGCCCATATCAAGCGTCTCAAAGTAGGAATTATATTGGGTGCGTTTTTTTATAGTTGAAAAGTACATTTTGACACAAAGTTTTATTTTTTACAGTCAGTCAAAATTCTGACTGGATTTATACAGTGGGGAAAAAAGTATTTAGTCAGCCACCAATTGTGCAAGTTCTCCCACTTAAAAAGATGAGAGAGGCCTGTAATTTTCATCATAGGTACACGTCAACTATGACAGACAAAATGAGATTTTTTTTTCCAGAAAATCACACTGTAGGATTTTTAATGAATTTATTTGCAAATTATGGTGGAAAATAAGTATTTGGTCAATAACAAAAGTTTCTCAATACTTTGTTATATACCCTTTGTTGGCAATGACACAAGTCAAACATTTTCTGTAAGTCTTTACAAGGTTTTCACACACTGTTGCTGGTATTTTGGCCCATTCCTCCATGCAGATCTCCTCTAGAGCAGTGATGTTTTGGGGCTGTCGCTGGGCAACACGGACTTTCAACTCCCTCCAAAGATTTTCTATGGGGTTGAGATCTGGAGACTGGCTAGGCCACTCTAGGACCTTGAAATGCTTCTTACGAAGCCACTCCTTCGTTGCCCGGGCGGTGTGTTTGGGATCATTGTCATGCTGAAAGACCCAGCCACGTTTCATCTTCAATGCCCTTGCTGATGGAAGGAGGTTTTCACTCAAAATCTCACGATACATGGCCCCATTCATTCTTTCCTTTACACGGATCAGTCGTCCTGGTCCCTTTGCAGAAAAACAGCCCCAAAGCATGATGTTTCCACCCCCATGCTTCACAGTAGGTATGGTGTTCTTTGGATGCAACTCAGCATTCTTTGTCCTCCAAACACGACGAGTTGAGTTTTTACCAAAAAGTTCTATTTTGGTTTCATCTGACCATATGACATTCTCCCAATCCTCTTCTGGATCATCCAAATGCACTCTAGCAAACTTCAGACGGGCCTGGACATGTACTGGCTTAAGCAGGGGGACACGTCTTGCACTGCAGGATTTGAGTCCCTGGCGGCGTAGTGTGTTACTGATGGTAGGCTTTGTTACTTTGGTCCCAGCTCTCTGCAGGTCATTCACTAGGTCCCCCCGTGTGGTTCTGGGATTTTTGCTCACCGTTCTTGTGATCATTCTGACCCCACGGGGTGAGATCTTGCGTGGAGCCCCAGATCGAGGGAGATTATCAGTGGTCTTGTATGTCTTCCATTTCCTAATAATTGCTCCCACAGTTGATTTCTTCAAACCAAGCTGCTTACCTATTGCAGATTCAGTCTTCCCAGCCTGGTGCAGATCTACAATTTTGTTTCTGGTGTCCTTTGACAGCTCTTTGGTCTTGGCCATAGTGGAGTTTGGAGTGTGACTGTTTGAGGTTGTGGACAGGTGTATTTTATATAGATAACAAGATCAAACAGGTGCCATTAATACAGGTAACGAGTGGAGGACAGAGGAGCCTCTTAAAGAAGAAGTTACAGGTCTGTGAGAGCCAGACATCTTGCTTGTTTGTAGGTGACCAAATACTTATTTTCCACCATAATTAGCAAATAAATTCATTAAAAATCCTACAACGTGATTTTCTGGATTTTTCTTTCTCAAATTTGTCTGTCATAGTTGACGTGTACCTATGATGAAAATTACAGGCCTCTCTCATCTTTTTAAGTGGGAGAACTTGCACAATTGGTGGCTGACTAAATATTTGTTTTCCCCACTGTAATTCTGGACGAAATAAAGACATCCTCTCTTTTAGTACAGTGCCTTCGGAAAGTATTCAGACCACTTCCCTTTTCCCACCTTTTGTTACATTACAGCCTTATTCTAAAAATGGATTAAATTAATTCCCCCCCCTCATCAATCTACAAACAATACCCCATATTGACAAAGCGAAAACAAATTTTTTGATTTTTTTGTTCAGACCCTTTGCTATGAGACTAGTAATTGACCTCAGGTGCATCCTGTTTTCATTGATCATCCTTGAGATGTTTCTACAAATTGATTGGAGTCCACCTGTGGTAAATTCAATTGATTGGACATGATTTGGAAAGGCACACACCTGTCTATAGGTCCCAGAGTTGACAATGCATGTCAGATCAAAAACCAAGCCAAGAGGTCGAAGGAATTGTCCGTAGTGCTCCGAGACAGGATTGTGTCGAGGCACAGATCTGGGGAAGATTACTAAAAAAATTCTGCAGCATTGATGGTCCCCAAGAACACAGTGGCCTCCATCATCCTTAAATGGAAGAAGTTTGGAACCACCAAGACTCTTCCTAGAGCTGGCCGCCCAGCCAAACTGAACAATCGGGGGAGAAGGGCCTTGGTTAGGGAGGTGACCAAAACCCTGATGGTCACTGACAGAGCTCCAGAGTTCCTCTGTGGAGATGGGAGAAACTTCCAGAAGGACAACCAATCAGGACTTTATGGTTGCGTGGCCAGACGGAAGCCACTACTCAGTAACAGGCACATGACAGCCCGCTTGGAGTTTTCCCAAAAGGCACCTAAAGGACTCTCAGACCCTGAGAAACAAGATTCTCTGGTCTGATGAAACCAAGATTGAACTCTTTGGCCTGAATGCCAAGCGTCACGTCTGGAGGAAACCTGGCACCATCCCTAGGGTGAGGCATGGTGGTGGCAGCATCATGCCGTGGGGATGTTTTTCAGCTGCAGGGACTGGGAGACTAGTCAGGATCGAGGGAAAGATGAACGGAGCAAAGTACAGAGAGATCCTTGATGAAAACCTGCTTCAGAGCGCTCAGGACCTCAGACTGGGGCAAAGGTAGTCTGCTGGAGCGCAGACTACGGGTGGGAAG